AACTTGTTAATTGAATTTTGCCTCTATAAATAAAAAGAAGCATAATAATTTATTCAAAACTCAAAATTATATTTACTAAATTACACGGTTGATATAGAAATTACATGCTGTCATGCTGCCTAAGAAAATATTGCATTGGTTCTATATATGACAATTTGAATCATTGCTTGGCAACTGTTTTTTCTCATATTGAGTGAAATAACAAAAAATTTGAATCTAGTTTAATAAATTGTTTAACAATTAAAAATATTTTCTCTTAGCTTTAAAAGAAAAAAGGTTGTTAGTTTAACATCTTGAAATTCAATGAAACTTTTCAGAAATCATCTCATCCAGGAGGAGATTGTCAACTACTTTAAGTCGAGTTACTTTCAACCCCCAGTTGCAGCAAGCCCCCTTTCTATCTGACCAGTGAAATGGTGACATTTGAATAGGAAAATTACTTAATAGAAAGTTATCAGAGAGCACAAAATATGTCTTTAGGGAGTTTACATGGGTGCAGAGTTTAAATATTTATTAAGTGAAATTTGGTTGATTGGTGATTACCATTTCATATCTGGCTGTAAATAGTTAGAGTTAACATTAAAAAAAGTTTGGATGTCTTGAATTATCTTTTTGTGTGGGCAAAGTCAATGACTACTTTCTATTGAAAAATATTAATTTCTACCTATCTGACCAATGAAATTATGCCATTCCATACCATCCAATTACTGCAACAAACAAGATAATGATAAGCTAAAATAATCAAATTTTTAATACAGATTCATTTAATGTTTGTTCTCACTTTTTCCCTGAAAGTGCTAAGCATATTTTCTAGTATTTATATTATATATATATATTTTGACTACTATAAAAGTTATTTGAAAATTGAATAAGATAAAATCAAAATAATTATAGTATAAGCATAAACAAACTGTTTAATTGAAGCACTAGAGTGGAAAAAAACAATCTTGCAAATTTCATTTCTTTCATTGAGTAATATATATTTTTATTTTATTGTTGAAGCATTAGTTGTTGTTATAACTACTTACAGTATCAAATGAGAAGTGAATTCATACTTACAGAAAGCAATATAAAGTAAACCTCCAGAACAAGCATAAAAAGGAATCAAATGTTTGAAATGTAACAATCTTCCTTCTGATAATTCAAATAAATTACTCTTTGTTAGAATTTCATTATATATTATTTTGTATTCCTGCAAAAATTTTTTGCAACAAAAAAATAAACTTGTAATTCAATTGAAAATCTTATATAAACTTTTTTCTGTATTAATTGAAACAAAATTACTTTAAGGTATTTGACAGATGAACTCAGACTGTATATAACAAAAAGAGAAAAAATTATCAAATGTTCTAGAATCCAAATATATTATACATTGATAACAGGGCTTTGGAACCAAAGTCAGAGCTTCCAGTTTTGCCTAAACCCAGAACCAAACATTCTTTAAAAGATTCTTGGCTTGGGTATTAATTTATTTAGTTATTTATGAGAAAGTTTTGTTAATCTAACCAAAGGTTCTCTAAAAACTTACATTTCTGACCTACTGCCAAGGATATTCCTAATATATCCTGTTTATTTTTTCAGAATTAAGCAAAATTAATCTATATTAACTGTAATATATAATACAATAATATGGACAACACTCTAGTAGCTTTTAGATAATAATTAAGATGTTACAACATAAATTTTGTTCATATGTCAAGCACTGTAACCTTTATAAACTGAAAATTGTAAAAACAGACTGAACAACTTTTCAGTCAGGTATACAAATAATGATGTTAAATAACTGAATAACAGTTAATTGCTTATTAATATCTCATTCTCTTTCCTGTAATTTCCTCCCCTTTAATTAATATTTAATGGATATGAGAATATTACTAAAATTACTTATTGTTATATGTCAGAGGAGGCAAAACATTGTCATGATAGGAGCCATACATCAGAAAAATGCAAAAGCTGAATTCTCCATTGAAATGTTATTTTATTCAATGAAATAATCAATCACTTTCAGCCCTAAATATTGTTTTACACTTAGTCTAAATCAAATAGGCACATATATAGATGCAGGCTTATCACACCAGTGTACAAGATTAAATTACAAAATCTTTAATGATTATTTAACACTTAAGAGTAGATAATCCTGTAGGGCTTTTAATAAGGTGTTAAATATATTTGATCTAGACTAAGTGTAAAAAAAGTGTTATTTTATATAGCCTATACATAATTATCATTGTTATGTTAGATTATTTTGGGTAGTTATGTAAGAAGACTACTTAAAAAAAACTGAGCAATAAAAATTAATTTATAATAATTTTTTCTTGTTTATCTAAATGCATGGCAATATTTCTCCTTCATTACTTACTGGTTCATGGGTTTTTAGTTGAAACATCAATTGTTTAAAATGTACTGTACTCTAACTTTCAGTTTCTTGTTCAAGTTTTGACATATGCTTACAATCTGTATGTACATGATAATACACAACAGTCAGCAAACTTACAAAAATACTACGTATTTGTAAGTAGTATCCCTCAAGTTTATAAAAAAAAATTGCATAAGTAAACAGAACTACAATAAGAGTCTAGAATGACAACATGTGGCTCACAAGCCACAGTCTGACCACTGTTGTTATACTTGATCAAAAGATTTATTTATATAAACAGTAGAAAATGATAGAAATGCATTATAAATAAATTTAAAAAATAAAATGGTTTGAACAAATTATTCCTATCTCAATCAATTGCACTTAAAAATATTAAATGTTCTGCTGGAGCTGGAGTCAGAGCCATGATCATGATCCCTCCTTCAAAGTCCTAATTGGCACATTTGTCTTACTACAACCATTAATTCAAATCCTTTGCCTCAATTTGAAGACGTTGATGACAAAATAGGAACACAAAGTGATCCAAGTTAAAGAGAAAGAACAGGAAGATCTGTTGATGATGCAGGAACAAAAGTTATCTAAGTTCAAGAAGAAGTAGAAGTATATCTAGACTAAAAGAAGCAAAATGTCTCACAGAAGGAAAAATCAAAATAGAAAGATAGGGAGAGAATACTCTCATAGAAGAAATAAAGAATAACATTAATTCATATATTAACAAAAAAATAATTTTTCAATATTTCTCATATATTATAGCAATTTATATCAAATGGTACTATCAATTTAATATATTTTTATGCATTAGATAATTCATTATCTGAAATCAATTTCCTGCTTTATTTGTCTTTGTCAATGTCTTTTCATGTTTACAAAAAATATAATTGTAAACAAAACAATTACTAATTATACAATTTACCCAACAGTTGTCAAGTGGATAAAACTAATAAACACCATTAGGTAAGATGTGAACTCTAAATGAAGGGTTTCCCACCTTCCAAAGTTATAGACATCCCATATAAGCAAAAAAATCAGACTAACCATACCCACACATGCAACTCTTGGCAAGATATTTGGCTCCAAAGGTCAGTTTTTACCATGTACTAGTATTCTACACACTCCACATCAATCAAGATTTGTCATCTGATGCTCTGTGATTCAGTGCTGGCCATTGCTTGCACCTCATTGCCCACATGGGGTGAGCCACCACATTCCCCTAAAACTACTAGCTACTTCAGCCCCTTGTTCAGAAAAGAAAAATATATACTCTGATCAATTAGTCTCACTCATTCAGAAAAATAGAGTATCATTTAGAGCAGAGATAATAAAGAATGATTCAAAAATATTTAAATTCAATTAAGTCACAACAATTTAACTACTAAACACAATTACTACATATTTGATAAATTAAATTGTTGCATTTTGTATTTAAAATAAATGAATTATAACAAAATACAAAAACATTTTTAAAAATTATCTAAATATATAAAATTGCTTGTNGCAGGTAAACTAGAAGGGATTTTTAGAAATTTCCCCGCGGGGGGTGAGGGGAGAGAATATAGTTTTCATCGAGTACTTAGGTGTATTAAATTAATAACATTTCAGACATTGTTTAAATATTTTTATCCATTTCGATTTTAAAAATGTTCGAACCGTTTTAAATTCGAATTTGTTATTGCGTATTGGTTCGATTATAGAACGATTGTAAATGTTTCAGAAAATTGATCAAATTGAAAATAGTTCGTTTGATTTTCGGCAATTCTCTTCAGCGGTAGGTGTTATATAACAATTACTATGGTTATTGAAATATTGGATGTAAATGGGGTTTGCTTGCAAAACCTCCGCTGACGAAGTCGCGGGTAACAGCTAGTCAAATATAAAATAAATTTGAAATGTTGGAGTCACCAAGTAGACACATTTTTCCCAACTCCAACTCCACTGCCCTGCTCTTAGCAGAGTAATGTGACCACGAAGTATATCAATTTTGGAGGGCTACATCTAACCAAGGGTCACACGTAGAAGTATAATTCATTTGACTTTTTGCTCCAATAGATACGGTCTGGTAAGATTCCAATAGTGTCATTCAGAGGTGTAATTGTACCGTACCTATCCAACACCTAAATATGGGGCAAGTTCCCATAAAAAGCCCTCCTGGGAGGCACCCCCCATTGGATCACCCATGCGTCGCACCATCCCATCCCGTCAATCCAAGAATTATACAATTTCCTAGACACATCAGACACCTCACACAAATTTAGATGGAAAAATTACAATAAAATCTATGCAAAATCTATAATTTGCATTCAAAATTTAATTTAAACTGAATTTAAGAGATAAATGTCTTTTCATGTTTACAGTTTGATGTGAAGTTAACAATGACAAAATAATATTAAGCATGATCAATTATTCATTCATTCACAATTGTAATTTAATGTCATCTGATAATATTTTAGTGTCTAAAAGTTTATATTTGTTGCATATAATGGTAAAAATGACTGATTATAATGTATTTAAATGGTATTTTTACATCAACATTGTCTTTTAATGAAGTAAGAAGTTTGAAAATGTTCCTGTGCATAAATTATAAGTTATTTATAATATTTTATGGTATTAAAAATTTTATAATTACCTTTCCAGTAATGTTTTTTTAAATAATTTATGATTTTACTTTCAAAATGCAGAAAAAAAATAAATTTTTTTGTTTGTTCAACTTTACTAAGCAATGGTTACGTCGGCGCCCTCTGGTAAGAGACATTCGACATCCGTTTCGGTATCGTCTGGAATTTAATGCCTAATTAAATTATTTAATAAATGTTAGTTCTGAATAAATTTTATTTTATATAGATGTATATAAGTTATTAATATAATAAAATCTTGTCTTAGAGTAACCATTTTTATATTATAATGCATTTTTTTTTTTTTTGCTTCTATTCCTCTCTGTGTACATTTTCATCACAGGATGCCTACCAACGTTGCCATTTCTAGTACATTTGTACTTTTCGGGTACAATTTGCTTTTTTGAGTACATTGAAACTATACTTAGATTTTTAGTGCATTTTGAGTACATTATAATATTTCATGCCTTAACGAGGAAATGCGAAAAAATTAGTTTAATAAAGTCTCACTAGTATTACTGCTTGCTAATTTGATTTATCCAATCACAACATACACATGGTGTATGTTGGTCGACGTCAACAACATACAGATAATAATAATAATAACATCCAGATAATCCATACCATCAATAATAACATTCAATCTAACATATAGATAGTTGCACGTGCAAATGTCTTGACTCAGTGGTCCTCTTTAACACGTGTGTCACATATTTCAGTCGTCTGCACATTCTCAAGAGGACCTTGAGAAAATTTTTCACACCACGTGGGCCAAACAATTCAACGATGTCAAAAAAATAATGGACAGGTAAGAAAATGAATGGTTAAAGTTTACTTAGGTAGTTCAAAATGGCTGCGCTTGGATTAGGTTTGTTTAGCTTAGGTTAGATTAGATTAACTATATTTTTAGATGTTTCCTTTTTTTTTTTGTTCAAGAACTACCGTGAATCAATAACTAGTGACGTTATACACTCAGCCGCTCCCCTCTAGGAAGAGCCCGTTGGGAGCACGAACAGTCGGAAGCACAGCCATTTTGGACTACCGAAGGCTACGTCCTAAGTGGCAGCGTCCAGCGACCGCGAGCGTAAACGCGCTTCCAAGCAGAGCGGACAAACTGGTTCAAGCAAATGTGCATGTCCGGAGTAACTGCGTTTAGCGTGTAGCGACCACCAGATGACGCTTCTACACGCACGTGCAGGAAGCAGCTACCAAGCCAGTTTGATCGTCGTTTCCACTGCTCGGGCTTCCAACCAGTGATGCCAGATTGGGCTACAAGTAGCGGATTGGGCTACTTTTTAAGTGCCCTCGCTACAAAAATTTCAAATTGGGCGACACGCTACTTTTTGGGCTAGTGATAATTATCTTCAGGCTACAAATCTTAAAAATACGCTACTTTTTTATTTTCATATATAAAATCGCAAAACACTTATTGTATTATACAAAAGTAATAAAGTTTTATTTAATTTCATTACACTTAAGTATATAAATAAAGTTGCAACGTTTAACAAAGATTAAGATACTTTGCTTCTGTTTTCCATCAGTCGTTCGCTCCAGTAGACAATCCACAACTACACAAGCACGGAGGCGACATTGCTTGTGAAATTGTGGATTGTCTACTACAAGCATTATCCTGTTAGAATTGCCAATTTTCTCTCCCAATAAGTGATCCAAAAGTTATTACATTTTGATACAACAGTTCTTGATACAATGGAAAAGGATGGCCATAAAACTGAAAAGAAAAGCCGCAGTCGCTAAGTCTCTAAGTTCAAAAAATGAATCGCCTCGCCTGCGAATGACTCGCTTTGATTTAGAGAAAATTAATGCAGATACACCGAATGTCCATATACAGGATGTATCAGAATGACGTTTTAAAAATTTGGGGGATTGTAAAGGATGAAATTTTGAACGTTTTGGTATAAGGAACCTATAATCGGAAATTTGAACTAAAGTGTCTACAGCGGTAGGAAGTGCTTGACCGCCCTTCACTTTGGTAGCTACCCTTCCATCCATTGACGTCATGTTATTGCTGCGGATGAAAGACTGTAAACACACAACTACAGTGGTCTAACTGAGCCTGTGTACAGGACGTTGTGTACTCAGTGCTTGTCGTTCTTCAGGTCACCCCTTGCATCCACTGGCGTTGTGATGCAAACACACAGCTAGTCAATGTGAGTCCCTTGTGTACGCAACACCTGTAGGAACAGTTCATAAGCTTACGGAGCGCATCTTTACAGCATTTAATACCATCAGAGAGGAGTGTGGCATCTTACGGAGAGTCGGACAAAACATGGTTCGTCGTTGCACATTATGTAACGAAGTTGGTGGTCGTCACACTGAACATTTACTCTAAAGTAGTGCAGCCACTGATTCGATGTACAGTTTGATTGTACTCTACTGTTTTGTCAATAAAACTTGTCATAAATACTGTATTCTGCTGTTTCATCCAGCATACCGACCTCATAGAACATGCAAAGTGCTGTAGAAACTTTATACGTATCTCATTTCCGGCTGTAGGTTCCTTATATCAAAACGTTCAAAATTTCATCGTCTACAATCCCCAAATTTTTAAAACGTCATTCTGATATACTCTGTGTATGTATATACATATATTACAAACTTATTTCATTAGTAAAAGTGCATAGTTGCCAAATAATTCATTTTTATTGTTTGGGCTACAAACAGTTCAAATCCGCTACTTTTGGAGCACAACCACGCTACTTTTTAACCTTCAGATCTGGCAACACTGCTTCCAACGAAGAAAATGGCTGATTTTGTAGATGAATGAAAACAGAATGACAAATAAATTGTGTATGTGTTGTATGTACTTTAATTTATAATCTTTTACGTTATTTAATAATTTTTGATTTTATAAATGTAACGTTTTAAAAATAAAACTTTTTTAACTTTATTATTCTATGAAGATTCTTTATATTTGTTGTGTATCTAGTTAGTTATAACAATTACCTGTCACATTTACCGTTTTAATGCTTGTTATATTTTCCGTAGCAAGCATTCGACAAAGTTGTCTCGCCGCCATTTTGTAACAACACGCGTCCACTCTGGACAGAAGTCGCTCGCGAGTTGGACGCGCGTACAAAGATTTTTTCCGCTCGCGGTCGCTGCCACATAGGACGTAGCCTAAGTAAACTTTAGACCGATAGTTTTGAAATTGTACGAGTATAAATAATATATACTTTTATATTGTTTTCTACCGTTATAATTTAATTCTTAAATTATGAACTCGAAATCTAACTTTATAGTTGTACTAAGGAAAACTCTTTTCTACTTAGAATTTTATGATTTTAGCGTGTGCGTACGCACCCTCCGCACTCTCTGGATCAGCCCCTGAACAGTTCACTTTGTTTCGCCTATGTATTTCGGATTGGTATTTTTCCAATCCTTCAGGCTCACGACTTCAGTGTCTAAGGTTGTTGTCTACAACATAACGAACAAAAGGTTAGTTCGTGTTAATATACTTTTGTTATCCAGAATATTGGATATAGTGCACAATTTGTACACATCCTAAAGGTGCAGTTTCTACATATCAGTCTCTTTCACTTACTGGCATGTTTTCTTTGTCTATTTTTGATGGGCAAATGAAACGCTTCCATTTCTCACAACTATTAGCTCTTTATTATCTCTTAGAAGGATTTTAACTTCATCAATATGGTTCATAACATGACAAATGTCAAAATGTAGTTTTTCATTGTAAATATTTTCAACAAGTTGAAATCAAAATTTTCACAAACAAACTATAACCATAATCTATATATATATATATATATAAATGGACGTGTGTGTCACTATATTTCACTTTTCAGCCAAAACTACACATCGCACATAAATGGTGTTTGTATGTGGTAGTAGCCCAAGTCTCCATTCGTGCACTATGGTGGTTGCGTCTCGATAGCTATAACGGTGCGGGAGATATGGGCTTAAAGTGGTTGAAAGTGGAAGATTTTCTATTTCGATGTTAAAAATTTTCGAATTCGAATTGGTTCGATTATAGAACGATTGTGAACGTCCCAGAAAATTGATCAAATTGAAAATAGTTCGTTTGACTGGACGTAAAAATTCTCTAATTAGTCTGGAAACGGGGGACCTAATTCTTGCATTCTGTGAAAACGGGTAAGATTGGCTATAATGTAATTATCTTAATCTTCACTATCGTTACTTTTTGCCCACAAATAAAAACCCAGCGAAGCGGGTCCTTGCAGCTAGTAAATAATAAAAACACAAGAACACTACAGTAAAACCTCGCTTAACGAGCATAATTAATTCCAGAATCTTACTCGTAATGCGAAAGACTCGTTAAGAGAAAGAATTATTCCCATATAAATTAATGTAAAATACGATAATGCGTTTCATGCCGAAAAAAATACTCGAAATTTTATGTATAACATTTATTCAAAGAAAATTATACATTACACATTGTTAAGGAGCGTGAATCATCATATTTTCTTCTAGCACGGAATGAACAAATCTGGAATGCGAATTCGATTTGCAGAAAAAAAAAAATTACAGATATGTCTGATAAACGCGCCAAACGATATGCCAAATTCTTGGGCTATGTAAAGGCTATAATTAAATATTATAAATTGATTAAGTTGACTAGAGGTAGGCAGTTATGTAAATTTAAATATCTATATAAATAAAAATGTAAATGTTCGTTTGTTCAAAATCTTAAATCAGTATAGTAGCATTAGAGCTATCGGCAGCCAGCGCAACGACCAGTATATCTATCGACTCTAGCATAACTGCCTACCTCTTGCCCAAGAATTTGGTATATCGTTTGGCGTGTTTATTATAATGGACTATGGTTGTCGAAGTTTTTACGTAATATGTGTGAACACAAGTTTGGAAAAATGTTTGATCACAAGCGACACTAAGATGCTGGCGGAACACAGACTGATGGAGTATGCGCGCAATCCGGGACTTCCCTCTTCTGGTCACTCGTTATGCAAAACAGCGCTCGTTAAGGGAGTCAATTTTTACAATTTGTTTTGCTCGTTATACGAATTACTCGTTATGTGAGGTGATCGTTAAGTGAGAGGTTCCACTGTACTTATATTCTGCAAAAGAAAACACTGTCCGAAAAAAAAATCAACAACGTACTGAGTATGGTACGGGTCAGACTGATCTTAGCACACTATAAATAAACAGGCTGGATGGCCGAGCGGTCAAGGTGGCAGCCCACCGCTCTGGGGGATCCGGGATCGAATCCGGACTAGTCGAATAATCCCCAGAATTTTTTCGGAGGGTGGTCTGTCCGGATATGTCGGGCCCCGTCCCTCACCTCCCGGTCGCCCCATCGTGTGCCTGGCCGAACCCATAATGTGCCTGTTATAAGAGGCCGTCTTAGTGCCCACAGGGTGGAAAGAGTATTAAAAAAACCTATTCCATTTATGAAAATTTAAATATAAAATATAATTATAGTTTTAATTTAATCTATATTAAATTATTTCGTTTATGCTACCCAAATTTGATAGTAAAAATAATCTTCAAATAGTCCAGTTAAAATTTAAAAAAATAATGATAGAATAATGTTAAAGTATTCCAGGTGGCGTTAAATTAAAACGACGCACGTCACTGATTACAGTACTTGTCGTCTGTTTTTGTTATTGTGTAAGATATTAGGGCAGTTGATAGATTGTCTTTACGAACTGCTCTTCGTCTGTTTAAGTCTGGGAGAATTTTAGGTTCGTAATTACTTTTTCATTTATTAAAATGATTTTATTTGATGATACTGATGTGAAATATGACAGTAAATCATTTAAATTAAGTAAGCACTTTATAATTTGTAGATTTATACAAAATATTAAACTGACAAATGCAGTTTATTAACTTAAATTTTACAGAATTTATAGATACATTTTATTACCACAAGATGCGTCCTGAGGAAATCAGGATATGAATCATCATGCTGTTAAAATTTAATTTTAATATTTTATCGTTTATTTATAGAGATTTTTATGTAAATATAAAAATGTACTGTACAGTCGACCCCCCCTATAACACTGTTGATTATTCCGTTTTATATGAATTCCATGTTGTACGAGTCGCTTAGATTTTACAAGTACGTGAGCTGTTCACAGCCCGGCACAGGTATTTGTAAAATCTAAGTGACTCGTACAACATGGAATTCATATAAAACAGAATAATCAACAGTGTTAACTGTATATATATATTTTAGTCTCCAAGTACCTTGATACCTGTTTACTTGAAGGACCAGTTATTATATCCATTATGTATAAGCCAGGCCCATTATGGGATGGCTGGATGCATAGTTATGGTTTAAGTCACCCAGGATGGTCCGTCAGTTGCTGCCCTCCCTTTGGGAAATACATAATACACATCAAATCTATATATTTTTTGCTTATCATTAAAAATTAAGAAAACAGTTTTATAAGTAATTGTATTCCTAATCACAAGGAGTGGCATGCACAGTGCAACATGCAAAAGCGAGTTTGATATGCCTTAACAAATATATATTTTGTGAAAGTCAATAATGAAATCTATATGGATGAATTAGTCACTGTGGTTACTTGACTGAACTAATCAATGCATCTTTAACAATGGGTGAAGTTTAAAGAACACTAACATAAGAATACAAGAAGTTTAAAGAAGGCATGACATTAACTGTTTAATGAGATAGCTTTAGATGTGGAAAGTGGAAAGATTCTGCTTTCAACTGTCTACACCTGAAGATGTTCCATTAACCAGATTGAAACCATTAGCATTCTTCAGTCCAGCTAATGAATCCATATATTTTTGCAATTTTTAATGAAAAAATAGTATTATGTTACGTGAATGTGTGATTGTTGTGGAAGTTTCTCAATTGTGCAATTTTATCAAAATAACTTTCCTGGAACCAAAAAGTTGAATTTTTTTTACTCATAAAATTATTTTATGAGTAAAAAAAATTCATTTTTTTAGTCACTCTATTAGAATTCTAAACATTCTCTTTATCTACTCTCATTTCTAACCATATCTTTTGAAACATATTACATATTTTATTTTAATAATTAACTTTTGATGATTAATGTTTTATTTTATGATTATATTTGATGATTAGCATATTTCAAGTTGAGGTTCATGTATTAATAATGTGAATTAATGAGATTGACAGTTTAAAATTTCATTTTTCAAATAATACTATCATGTATAGATACTATAGTATTATGATAGTATAGAACTAATAACTGGATAAAACTATAGTATAACAAGCATAAAAACCAAAATTCCAGCAAAAAATGTAAATTTAATGAAAAACTAACTTGCTTTTAGCAATCGTGGTCAGGTTACAAACTGTTCAAAAAGAACACAAAAATCAACATAAATATTTAAAAGTGAGGAACTTTGTGTCTGATTGGACAGTGAAGTAAGCATGAATTTGAGTATTTACCAACTAGAAATGCATTAAAAGAATTTCAAAATAGGATTACCGTTCATGCAAAGACACAGCCATTAATTATAAGGACAATAATGTCATTTTGCAAGCATAGTTATTTTGAAATTCTCTAAATGAATTTTCTAATTGATAAACATCTAGATTACACTTACTTCATTACTCAGACAACAGTTTCACACTTTTAAATTGAACAAATATTTTTATATTTGTTCAATTTTGTTATATTTGATAATTAGCATATTTCAAGTTGAGGTTCATGTATAATGTTTAAAATTTCACTTTTCAAATAATACTATCATGTATAGATACGATAGTAACAATTTTGTAAACATAGTAAACAATTTTGTTCTTTTTTCAGTGTATCTGACAATAATTGCTAATAGCAATCAAAAGTGTTAGTTTTTCATTAAATTTACATTTTTTGTTGGATTTTTTATTTTTATATTTGTTACACTACACCAGTGTTTCTCAACCTCTAACGAATCGTCGCCCCCTTCAATAAAACTGTTACATAGTATCGCCCCCTTCACTTCAAAATTCTGATGCTTTGGGCCAGGACTAACATCAAATTCATACTGCATTGAATAGTCTAGTGACTAGTATAATGTTATTTGTTTAATTATTGTATGATATAACAAATAAAATATTTAATTAATCTTAATATAATGTTTTACTATATCACCCAGAAAATTGTTTTTTTGCCCCCCCAAAATATAAATTGTTACTAATTGCCCCCTCAACATGGAAAAACGCCCACATGGGGGCAATATCGCCTCGTTGAGAAACACTGCACTACACTCATGTTTTAATTTAAAGGAATTAACAACAGATATTTTTAATAGTCAGCATTTTTAATGTTGGATTACATTACATCATGTAAAGTAATTTATTGTATTTTTAATTTAATATACAGGATGGTCCATTTATAACATCATTTGCAAATATCTCCTAAAACAATGTTTTTCAACCTGTGGGTCGCGACCCCCCTGGGGGTCGCGAAGCCTTACACGGGGGGTCACAGGTAAAAGAAAAAGACAAGTGTTTGTAGGTCCTACACTATGTTAAAAAAACTACAATTTCAGCGAGAAGGCTGTACCTGTTTATTATACAATACAGTTGTTTTTTGATTGACATTTAGGTCCGAATGATGGGTGTCGCCTGGGCGGGTACGGCCCACCCGAGAAAGTGATTGCCGAAAAAGAGTTGAGCTGACTTGTAAAAAGAAATAATTAGTAGAAAAGTAGAAGTGTAAAACCCTCATCCTAAAAAAAAAAAAAAAGAAAAAAAACGTCAACAGCACTCCGAACCCATTGTTATAAGAAGGAAATAACATACTATACGTGTCTTAAGTTATTGTCGGTTCTCCTTAAATTCTCATTTTAGTCAACAGTAATTTTTCTCGACAGAAAGAAAATTAAATACATAATTTATTAAATCACTGATATAGTTTTAATATGGCCCTAGGGGGGGTCGCCAGAATTTTTTAACTTGTAAAGGGGTCGCGTATTCAAAAAGGTTGAAAAACACTGTCCTAAAATATATATTACATTGAAAAAGTCTAATATGAAAGTTTTATTTTGGAGAGGCCTTTTGAACAACATAGAAATTAAGCCACGCCCTTCCACTTGTGGGGGTGAAGGATTTTCAAATGGGGGCCCTATTTTTCTTGTACTTTTGGATTCTTTATTGAAAAATGATAATATTCTAAACAGTTTTTTCAATTAATGTTAATTTAAAAAGTTATTAGCATTTTTAGTATTTTTGAAAAATAATACTTATGAAATATTTTTTTATTACAACTTAAAAAATAAAAATCAAAAATAAACAATTTTCGTTATAAATTTATGTAAAAGATAAAAGTTTTTAGAAAAATATGTAGTGTTTATTTCGGAAATGTTCAAAGAGGTGACCATTGACCAATGCATTTCTCAACGTATTTTCAGAAACTCTGCACAGTGCTCTGCAAAAATTGTGTATCAATTGAAGTGCAAGTATCAATAATACATTGTTACATATTTTCAAATGTGTTGAAGTTTATGGTCATCTCTTTGAACATTTCTGAAATAGATGCTACTCTTTATTTTTAAAAAACTTATTTTTTACATAAATTTATAATGGAAATTGTTTACTTTTGGTTTTTGTTTTTAAATTAATGTTAACATTTTATTCTAAACAATTTTTTTGATTTACCATTTTTCAATAGTCTGAAAATACAAAAAAAAATTGAAGCTTTCATTTGAAAATCTAAAGTTTCCTCCCTCCCCACCCAGGGGAGTGGCTTAATTTCTGTGGTTTGAAAGACCCCTTTAAAATAAAGTTTACATTGAAAAAATCTTATATGAATGTATATTTCAGGAGAGATATGCAATTGAAGTTATAAATGAAGTTATAAAAGAAATACATTCATTCTCCACATTGACTCACATGGTGATATGTGATGAATTACTATGCATTAAAGAGTAATTAAAACTTGTTGTTTATACAAGTTACTGATTTGTACAACTCTAATAAATCATTTATATATATTTCTTTAAAGTATTAGTTTAAAAAATAAATTGATGATTATTAATAAGCAATAATTAATTAGTTTTAATAGATTATTTCTTTATTTTAATTGTATTTTAAATTCTATAAAGGATTAAAGAGCACTACAAAGATTTTCACTTTTATCACTTATCATATTTTCAAACAATGTAGAAGATTTAATTAAACAAATTAAATAAGAGAAGATTAATTAAACAAAAGATTTGAAAAAATCTTTTGTTTAATTGTTAAGTGATAATGGTGATAAGTGAAAAATACACATTTTTTTAAATAATTTATTTTTTATTTATATTTTGTAGTTTACTTATCACGGTCTGCCTATTACTTACACATACAGTACTGTACAGTTAAGGGAAAGGGGTTACAAAAACTATATCATTGTACAATACATGATGAGGAGGAGATCAAGGCATTGTCAATGCAGACTTTTTTAGTGGTGTGAGTGGCATACAAGTTATTACAAGACTACTTACTAATCATGTGAATAAACTATCAGTTAAAAAAATATTTGTGTAACTTCTTAAAATAATTTCTTCAATGTTAGAAAGTTTTGCAAAAATCATTGTATAGATGTAAAAAGGGAGGAGGAGGTCAAAAACTGTATCATCAGGTTTGTGAAAAGTACTTTTTTATGAAGATATTAAAATAGTTAATTAGTACACTAAAAAGACTAATTTGTTCAGTCAATATTTTGATTTGTGTTTTGTCAAATTATTTTAAGAACGTGTTAAGTAACATATCAGA